AAATGTTATTGAAATCATTGTAACATCATCTATTTGTCAGATAGCTTGTCTCGGTTTTAAATTGTTCTTACATAGAGCAAGCTGTTGCGTATCGAATAAGTTGGGAGACATGAACATCACATTAAGATGATAGAGGAAAATTACTACATAAAAAATTGACGTAGAGTTGAAGGCTTTTATCCTAAATTTGACTGCGGAGTAGTTCGTCCACCTGATCAATACATAGAGCTCACGAAGGGGTTTGACAGGGGGTTCTTTCTATTCCTAGGCATCTGATCTAACCTCTGGTGTTTCCAGGGGTCCTTAATCGCAACTTTGTGAAATTATATAAATTAAAAGTCCTTAACTGTAGAGAATAGAGGCAATATTTAGTCACAGAGGTCATCAATCTTCCAGAAATCTCCATAGAAATTAATAGTTAGTCACACTTTCACATCCAAAGCACATGGGAATATTATTATATCATATATTTGATGTATGTTTTATTGTGTTAAAAATCAGTCAACATGTAAACAATCAGGGAAATTTTAAAGTATTTCCTTAGAATAAATGTTTATAACCGAATTGGATAATATATTCCGAAACATACAATTATAATTTTTCTATATTGTATGTATAAGTATTTTAATTCTGCTGTACAACCGTTTATGTTTCAATTTTGCATTTTCCTCATGCCATTTTCACTTTGAAAAAACCTTTCCGCATTTCAATGCGATATTTCTAAAAACCTTATAGGGCTAGCCCAATAATTCCGTACTGAAAACTCTCTGTGGTTATCATACATTAACTCTAACAACACTACTGTTAACAGCATAGTTTTTAATACAAGATTTTATTCGTATTGTACCACGCAGAAATCAATGTAGGAATAAGTATAATATAATTTGACATTGATTTATTTTATTTATTAGAGGGGTCGGAAAAAGGGACCACAGTATACTGCTTAAGTGGAAACACCCTATTGAATCTGAAAAAAAAACTTTGAGAGTATATACATGTATTGATCATTCACTGAACTATAAATATTACTTGACTTTGATAAGTTTGTAAATACTTCAAGTGTAAATTATTCTCAGTATACTAAAATAATTCCTCAAATTACATACACTTTGTCAAAAAAGCTTCTTTATATCCATATATTCTGTCTTCTTTTAATATATGGTAAAATGCACAGGGTGCTAGCATAGAAAGAATTTTAAAGTAACAATAATATGTTTGTTTAACACAAATGCCTTGCAAATGGCCTTTTCTAGTGACAAATAGTCAGAAATACAATGAATTGAAGGGTTTCAAAACTAAATTCAATATTACGTTACTGTCAAAATTGATAGGCTTATACTGCATAGTTTTCTTACACCTATCAGAAGCATATCGCGTATGTCATCTTAAAAAATTCTCGAAGGAACGAAAAGAAAACAATCAACGAACCCTGCAATCATCTTAAATATATGAATTTACCAACCTTGTTGAAATTGCAGGAATATCCGTGAGAATTCCTCATAGTCAATGAAACCCTCGGTCTCCTTTTAATAAATTCAACACTTTCTTAACACACTGACAAACCAGAAGTCTCTGACAAGACTGTAGCTCTACTGGTTGTACTTATAAAGGAAGATAGAAATAGCACTTGGACTTGAAACTTTGCAACAGCAATAAATAGAATAATGATCCTTGATTTAGTCTCTTTTTGTGGCAAGATTTATTGCAATCAGACTAAAACTGTAGGAGGAGTAGCCCTTTAAAACAATTTTACAGAAATTTCGATTTAAATAACCATGGCAACATCATTCAACAAAATCAAAAAACAATAAAGACAATTATGCATCTCAGTTAGTCTACTTGTATGCCAAGTTATACTGAAATCAGATAAAAAGTGTAGGGAGGAGTAGCGTTTTGAAAGTATTTAAAGGAAATTTCTATTTTTAGTAACCATGGCAACACTTCATTGAAATAAAAAACCGATACATAGAATAAAGTATCTTAGTGTAGTCTCCTTGTGTGCCAATGTACTAGTATATTGAAATAAGATCAAAACTGTAGGAGAAGTAGCGTTTTGAAAGTATTTCACAGAAATTTCTATTGCTAGTAACCATGGCAACACCGTTCATTGAAATCAAAAACCGATATACAGAATAATGTATCTTACTATGGTCTACTAGTGTGTCAAGTTATACTGAAATCAGATCAAAACTGTAGGAGGAGTAGCGTTTTGAAAGTATTTCCCCAAAATCTTAATATTTAGTAACCATGGCAACACTGTTCATTAAAATCAAAAACCGATACACAGAATTATGTATCTTAGTGTAGTCTACTTATGTGCCAAGTTATGTTGAAATCAGACCAAAACCGTAGGAAGAGTAGCGTTTTGAAAAATTGTTTACAGACGGAGAAACAGACGGACGGACGACGGACACCTTACTATCGCATAAGCTCTTCTGGTCTCTGACCAGTAGAGCTAAAAACGAAAACCGAAATGTATTTTAATTGTTAACCACACTAGCGAAATGGCATTAATATGAATATCAAGGACTTTGGATTTAAGTTATCCGATCTATAATTCAATAAAAATTGATGCATGGAAAGCATTTGAAATGTTTATTGAATATTGATGATCACACTGTGGGGGGGGGGGGGGTCAAAAACTAGGTCAACAAATGCGATAACGCATAAGGGAAGACACTCTGGATGTTTTCAAAACTGGATGCATTACATTGATAAAGTAACAAAAATATTTTAAAAACAATAAAACTAAAATTAGATACCTTGTGTACTTAATCATTTATGTATAAATACTTGACAAACACAAATTATATTTCAACATTTACAATTTCTGCAAGTGAAATTATGCAAAAGGACATAATTTAGGAATAATTCTCCCAACACTTTTTCCGATTTAACGCTAGGTTTCCCAAACTATTTTTTTAAAGGAAGACATACCAGTCCATCTTTACCACTTTCTCTTGAATATCAGTCTCAGGTGTCCCAGATTCAGTCCAGATCCATATTTTCTACTGTGCAGGATTTCATAATTTTATCTTGAATAAGAGGGCATGGCGAAGCAATGTTTTTTTGTGATTTACAAGAATTAAACTCTTCCCGGAGAAATTGGCATTCTGTATTGTAAGAATGTTTTTTAAAGTTTAAAACCGAGACAAGTCAAGCTTGTTTAATTTCATCTAGCATGACAACATCATCGAGAGCATTATACGCATTGTAAGTATGACCACAAAAATGCTGAGCTAGACATTCTTGCTTATACTTATCAAGTTTGGGGTATTTTTGTCTGAAAAGATGAGTCACAAAATGCTGAGGCTTTAGGGTAAAATTTCTCTTGCAAATCACAGCTACAAAATGCCCTGCATAATACTAAAAAATCAAATGGTCGGCCATTGTGTGCTGAGAAATTTCTCTAACCACTCAAAGAAATCCTCTAGTGCAGTCTTTATTCCCACAAAATCAATTGGAATTTATAACATCAGTGCTTCAACAATACTGAATTTACAGTGCCTGAACAAGTAAATACAGAAAAGCAAAACAAAGAAAATTAATCAATGTCAAAATTTCAAATAAAGCCACGAGAAATATCAACAACCGAACAGAACAGACCTACAAAAAATTCCCACTTGTACCATCAGAAATATCAACAAACCATAGGACAGAAAGAACCGAACATGCATTATACATGTACCTCTGAAAAGTACTTTCTACCCTCATTAATATATGCTGCTAATGCTTTCACTCGAAAATCTCAAGTCTCACTTAATGGAGATGCTTCGGAACTCTCAGACATATCTCTCTACTGGCATGTTCACATGCCTGACTTGACCCTAATTCTAGAAGAAGATATTTAAGATTTTTCCAATATATATTCCTAAGTAAAACATTGACCACTGTTGTGGCCCTGCCATACCCCGGGGTCATCAATTGAACAAACTTGAATCTACAATACCTGAGTATGCTTCTACATTAATGAAATATATGGAAATAACGAATAGTATTCAAGCTCAAAAGTCCATTAAACATTACAAAATAGGAGCAGAGCAAACACGGACCTCCAAAACATCAGAGGTGGGATCAGGTGCCATGGAGGAGTGAACATCCCTGCCGACCGGTCACACCCGCCGTGTGCTCCTTGTCATCATCGGGAAATAACGGAAAAATCCGTCGACAATACAGTGACTAAATAATGGTCTAACAATTAGTATGAAAAACGTCAGTCAGCATTTGACTCAATGATAAGTTGTATTTGCTGACAAGGTCATTGTATCGACCATAGAACTTACGAAATGATGACTTTAATCGAGACTGCTGATATTCTTGTTTCATCAACTTGTTTGTCAATAATTTACCTCGTTTTAGAAATTGTACATACGTAGAGCATGCTCTTGCATATCGAATCAACTGAGAGATATAAACCCCGGATGCAGGTGATGAAGGTATATTGCTGCATAGGTAAGGGAATTTGACGATTGAAAAGTTAAAGTCATCACGTTTATCATAAAGCACGGTTGTTAGATTACCATTAACGTCTCAATAGCTGTATTTTAAAATTAAATTTAAAAGGAAAAGAAAACAGGAAGAAAGAAAAGAGAAAATAGAGAGAAATTTGATGTATCAAAAAATAGGAGTAGTGCATGCAGAAAGCAAAAGTTATATTGTAAATTTCCTCTCTTTCTCTCCAGTTGTTATAGTGTTTTTAATATAAATTACACTGTGAGTGCAGTATGGATCCAGTATAATTTTAATAAAAAAAAGATCAAATATACAGTGTAGGTACTGTATAATAATTGAGTAAAAAGAATGAAAGATTTCAAATTAAAAAAAAAAAAAAAAAAAAAAAACTGTACTTTTTAAACTTCCAACAGATACCAGAAATACTTTCTCATGAAATGGACCGGGAATTCTCACTAGGTGTTTAAATTAGTTGTTTCTAAATATACTGAAAACTTGAAATAAAACCAACGGCGCATTGACAGTAGACGCTCTTTAAATGTACCACCATGAGAGGATTTCTCTCTCTTACTGTGGTTGTCTTTGTATTCCTTTTTCGATATTTCTGTGTTTTGGCCTTTCCTCCTCAGAGTATTCCAGGAGAACATCAATCAAAGTCGCATCTTACATTAAATATATATGGGATATACCTTTCGACGCATAAATTTTTATTGAAACACAATCTTGTCAACAGTACAGGGCGAACACCGAGCGAAGCGTTAAACGAGTTTTTTGGAAAAGGTAAGAACAATTTTAGAATCAAATCGTGTTCCTGTGACTCTCCAAAAATCAATCAAACTATCACGTCATTAAGCAAAATTATTCTTTTTTCATTCATGAAGTTGTCAGTGAACCATCTAATTCAATACCGCTATTGTGATATGACTAAGAGTAATTTATATGTTATGATACATTTCAAATTGGTGATCACAAAAAACCTAATTGTTTTAAACCATTTACTTAAATAATCTTATTGCAGACAGAGACTCACAGACTCACTTTCTTGAGAATGTTTATGCGATTACCAATTATCAAAACGAGGTTCAAAGAGAGTTGGCCGATAAAGCATATTACCATGTAAATGGGGAACAGATAGTATTGGGTAACTTTGCAATGTTTCAATGACAAAGTAAACAACATGCAGTATTATAGCACCACATCAATATATATTACAAGGTTTCAGTATTGAGTAATTTGCTTCCAGCAAAACATCATTTATTACATGAACATTTTGAGTCTTCGTCCTTCATTTATATATCATGACCTGAATTTTGAATTTTTGGGGTGGAGGTAAATGCAAAATTTTCACCATAACAAATTATCATGTAAATTTTGCATTTACCTCCAGCCAGTAGATTCAGAATTTACATGATATAATAGATGGTGAAAAACAGAAATATCATAAAAGCCAGCTGGAAATGTCGTTCTGGAGAGTGAATTTTGAAAACCTGTCAAAAATCAAAGGATTTCAGGATGTACGATTATCCATACATGTGTTTATTTAAAAATCAGGACATATCATCAAATTGATGTTTTCGGTAAATAATTCTTTAAATGTATTAAAATAACATGTGTATATTTGCATGTTTCAAAATGAAGATGGTTTATCGATTTTGCAATTGGTGTTCTATTAAATTTAAAACCTCTCTTGTCCTTGATTTTTGTTTGCTCTGGAATTGCTTAAACTTCTAGATCATGCATTAACTTATGAGTAATCTTACAACCAGGAAGGTTATTTTTTTATGGAACAAACAAGAGCAGCAAGGGAATTTAATACAAATTTTGAAACAACGCTTCATAAATGATTGAAAATATTTCTCTTGGTTCACTATCTCATGTCATGTTCCCAAGCTTTGAAACAGCTCGAATTCACAGAATCAAATCAACCAAAAACAAAACCTATTAGAATACAAATTAAAACAAAAGAAATCAAGATCTAATACATTATACCGGTCTCTCTATAATTTACGAGCAAAAAGTTATTATTGTTTAATCTTAAGATTTTCATTGAAAAAGTAAATACACTAATTCTTGTTCATTACATGTTTTAAAAATGCCTAAAATAAAACAGCTTTTTACATTCTTTCGATCCTTTACAGTATTGATTTCCTTATATGCACATATGTTTGTATGCAATATATGTTTTTATATATTTTTTTCATTTCTACAGAATGTTGCATAAAAACGACCTGTTTTCTTAATTTTAGCACATAATCACGTGCGATCTTTAAGAAAATCTTTGATTGACCTTTCAAAATCAGCATCTACAGCAGACATAGAAATATTGAGGGAACGAACAGGGCATTGTCTTTATACTATCCAGCAGTTCTACAGTAATACTAACTGGGTAGAGCTAAATGATGACACTATTCTAAAGGAGTTTGGTAAGAAATACATTATTAAATATAAACGCATCAAAAGTACACATTACATGTAAGCCATTAAATAACAACTTCTCGGAACTACATTATATTATGTACGAAAAATATAATGACTAAATGAGTTAAACAAGTAACATTTTGTTCATGGGTAGGTCTGAAAGAATTGAAATGGCTTTTAAAAAGTACATTTTGTACATGCACATTTCATTTTTGTGGGTGATATACATGTACCATATAGTATTAATATAAACACTGCGACTTTTAAGTCAGGACACGACAAAGTCCGGACTTTCAGCTATCCTTTCTGAAAGACATAATTTAAAAATTTTCCTGGATTTTGATGGGATTTTATATCTATATTATGATCACATCATGTCAACCATAACTTTCACAGTGTAGAAGTTTTCTAGAAAAATTCTCCCAAACATGGGTAGGTGTGAAAGAATTGAATTGGTTTTTAAAAAGAATATTTCGTACATGCCCATTTCATTTTTTGTGGGCGATATACCATATGCCATTTATGTTATAGCCGAAACTGATATGAAAGCGATTGACCATTTTTTTTTATCAAGAGTATAACTGTGAAATAAGTTGGAGACATGTCGGATGATATGGTGCGTTTTAAAATATAAGATATTAGACAACGCCTTCGTGTAAAAATAATCTCGTGTTATTGGGTGGAAATTAAAAAGTGAGACATGCAGAAATTATGTCACAAAGAACTGACGAGTAATGTTTTCCGATCTCCTTTTCATTAATCAGTTATCTCCACAATTAAGGTTAGGAATGTTAAGTAGTTTCAAATGTATTTTGACTTAAAAATAAAAAATAACAGCTATGTTAGTTCCGTTTTGAAAAAGCTGCCAAAGCTGCACATATTCAAAGTGTTACTGGTTTTACCAATTTAGTCATTTTACAAAATAATTATATTACAATTTTTGCTGTTTTTGATCAATACGATAATTTAGCCACCAGGGGACTACAATATTTACCGAGCGCGAAGGGCCATGTGAATATTGTACTTTGAGGGTGGCTAAATCATCTTTTCGACCTCAGAAACAGCAATAATTGTACACACAAGTACTTCAAAGTTGACATTAAAAAGATGTTCGAGTTCCTGATTGACAATATCTGTGTGGTTTTGGGAAACCAGGTCTTCCAACAACCTACTGGAATTCCCACAGGTACCAATTGCGCCCCGTTATTAGCAGACCTATTTTTGTGTTCATATGAAGCAGAATTTGTTCAAAATCTTTCACGTGAAAAGAAGAAAACACTTGCTGTTGTCTTCAACTCGAAATTTAGATATATCGATGATGTATTGTCAATTAACAATGGTAATTTCCATTCTTATGTCGACACGATATATTCCGGTGAGCTTGAGATAAAAGGTACCACAGAGTCTGACACATCTGTTTCATATTTGGATATTTTATTAGAAAAGGACGTTAATGGTAATCTAACAACAAAACTTTATGACAAACGTGATGACTTTAACTTTTCAATCATCAACTTCCCTTACTTGTGCAGCAATATACCCTTATCACCTGCATACGAGGTTTATATCTCTCAGTTGATTCGATACGCAAGAGCATGCTCTACGTATGAACAATTTCTAAAACGAGGTAAATTATTGACAAACAAGTTGATGAAACAAGAATATCAGCAGTCTCGTTTAAAGTCATCATTTCGTAAGTTCTATGGTCGATACAATGACCTTGTCAGCAAATACAATCTTTCATAAAGTCAAATGCTGACTGACGTTTTTCATACTATAATTGTTAGGCCATTATTTACACACTGATTTGTCAACGGATTTTTCCGTTATTTCCCGATCATGACAAGGAGCACACGGCGGGTGTGACCGGTCGGCAGGGGATGTTCACTCCTCCATGGCACCTGATCCCACCTCTGATGTCTTAGAGGTCCGTGTTTGCTCTACTCCTATTTTGTAATGTTTAATGGACTTTTGAGCTCGAATACTGTTCGTTATCTTCACATATTTCATTGTATTCTACATGTATGATTCACTGATTAAATGATACTAACAACAACCCTAAACAGTAAACTGACATTCATCTATCAGGCCGTATTAGTTTTAAATAGTTCTTGGCTTTGTATTTCGTCATAAGATTTTTTTTACAGACATCAGCCCTACCATACACAGTGCAAAAACAAAGTTAGAATAAAAAAAGTTAACAAAAATTTTATGATCGCATTTCTGTTCAATTTCTCAAGTTCTGTAACCCATGAAATTTAAAAAAAAAACAACAACAACATTGCAATTTTTTTTTTTAAATTTTGTTTTTGTGTACAATAATTTGTAATTGAAAAAATGATAAAGCTTGTTGATTTAATCGTGGTGAATCTGGGAAAAAGTTGCAATTGTTGATTTTGATTTTCCTGTAACTTTTGTAGGTATTAAAGAATTACTTCCCGAGGCTGTAAATGATCTGTCAGAAGATACTTGTTACGACTGTCCTACAGACTTGGAAAGGTTTTTTCTCATACTATACTTGCATTATTGTATGTTATAGGTTCATATCGTTAATCAAATTCTTCCCGAAATTAGTCATATCACACGGAAAATTATTGCTGCCAGTTGAAAATATTTTTGCCATATCGTAGTTGCAAGATTATAATTCGTACGTACGTGAAAACAAGAAGTCTGTTAGCCAATGCTTACTAGTAATACCCTCGCTTTGATGTGAATGTACACAAGTTCAGTTATGGACAGAGGCACGGATAAACAGGAAGTTGACATCGGATTCGTACAAAATTGATTCCCACCATATGGCATGCCTAAACAAAGTGTGTGCTAAAATTTCAAGCATCTGCGATGAGTAGTTGCTGAGAAAACTCTGACGAAAACTTTGTTACGGACAGACAGACACACAGACAGACGGATGGACAGACACACAAGGGTAAAACAGTATACTCCCCTCTCCTTCGGAGCGGGGGTATAAGTCGTAATTAAGAAAATATGTCATTCATACTTCTAAAGTCGTACGAACTACATAATAAGTCGACATAGTTACACTAGGTCGCACATACGATATGATAAGTCAAAATAACAAGATAATATGTTATAACTGTTAGTTTTAAGTTAATTAACTCTTATTTGTGTTTATGGAACTCAACAGTTTGGGGATTATTATTAAAAATTTTAAAAAAATTAACCCTCCAAAATATAGTCAGTCAAAATCCTATGAGCTTTATAAACAGGAGTTGCTTGCGTGGAAAGAAATTACAGAAATAGAAAAGAAAAACAGTGAGTAGCAATTGCTTTAACATTACCAGAAGATGATAAATCGAAAATTCGAGAAAAAGTGTTTGATCAAATTAAATTGGATGACTTAAAGAAGGAGATAGGGCTTGAAACATTGATTCAATTTCTTGATAAACATCTTGCAAAGGATGATTGAACTGATAGTGTAACAAAGTTTGAAGATTACAGAAGAGCAGAGGGGCAGTCTGTAATAGAATATGAAAGCGTGTTTGATGCTAAATATAGGAAAATAGAAAGACATGAAATTGCCACCTGAAATACTGGCATCAAAATTATTAGAGCTAACATTTCAAAAGAGGAGACAATGATTGTGTTAACAGGAATGAACTATGATAAAAAAGATACTTTATATGAACAAGCTAATTGCTTCTTGAAAAAGTTCAAAGGTGGAGTTTGTGATACTAGCTCTGCTCATTCAACAGCACCGAGTATCAAGTTAGAGCCTGCAGTTTTTGTCGAGAATGAGGAAGCCTTGTTAGCAGCTGGGTTTGAAACCATTCTTATCGCCCTGGATTTTCTGGAGGCAGACGTGGACGTAGTTGAGGTAATGATAGCACAAAGTTGCAGGGATATCGTCAGCCAGAGCACAACTCATTCAAAGCAACACCCATTCAAAAACGAGGGAGGACTTAAGAAGGAAATAAATCCTACTTGTAGTGATGGTAAATTGTTGACTTGTAAATCATGTGGTTCTTACAGACATATGATAACAGATTGTCGACATAGCTGGGAAAACATGGCGAAGGTTAATATGTGTACCACAGAACATGCAGTGTTGTTTACTGGATTTCAACGAGAAGACATATCTCGTTTGTGTGTGTTTCCCAGAACTGTGCAGTGCTTGACAGTGAATGTAGTAGTACAGTTTGTGGTCAGATGTGGTTCAACAACTATAAAGAGTCCTTAAGTGACAGGGACAGGAAGAAGATTGATTTGTTTGTTTGTTTTGTTGTTTAACGTCCCTCTCGAGAATTTTTCACTCAAGTGGAGACGCCACCACTTGCCGGTGGAGGGCTACAAATTTTGACCTATACTCGGCACTCAGGGCCATTGAGCAGTGAGGGATCTTTTTCGTGCCAACACCTACTGCGACACGGGACCTCGGTTTATACGGTCTCATCCGAAGGACTGGTCCCGCAGTGGGACTCGAACCCGCGACGTAAGGATCAACTCCTTACTCTAGAGCAGACGCTCTAACCACTGCGCCACGCGGGCGACCAAGATTGAGTGTGATGACAGTAAGAAGGTGTTCAAATTTGGAGGAGGAACTTGTCTCAAGTCAACAGGAGAGTTCAGTATTCCCACTGTTCTAGCAGGCAAATCTGTGACCATTCAAACAGATGTTGTAGAATCTGACATACCCCTACTTTTGTCCAAAGATTCCATGAAAAAGGTTAGTGTGAAAATGGACTTTGACAATGATACAGCCACAATATTCGGAAAAGAAATAGCTTTAAACTTGACAACAGTTGGCCATTATTGTGTCCCTATAGATAAGTCTGAGACTGTAGTAGTAGCAAATGTGTGCAAGGTGGAGACAACAGATGGTGAAAAACTTTCTCAGGAAAAACTTCTCAAACTTCATAGACCCGCCAATGAAGAAGCTAGTAGCTCTTTTGAAAGATGCTAAAAATTGGAAGGAAGAATATCATGAGATAATGTCAAATATTGAGCGAAAATGTGACATTTGCAAGTTATTTGCAAAAACTCCAGCACGGCCAGTTGTAGCTTTGCCTTTAGCAAAGAGTTTAGTGAAAAGTTGCAATGGACCTGAAAAAGTGACCACAACCAGTGAAATATTTGCAAAACATCTGAACACCTTGCATTCAGCTAGAAAAGCTTACATTCAAACAGAAGCTGAGGAAAGAATACGACGTGCACTAAGAAGTAGAGCATCTGAGCAAGTTTTCAATAATAGAGACAGTGTATTATATAAAAGAGAAGGAAAAGAAAGATGGTTAAGACCAAGAAAAGTTATGTTCCAAGACGATAAAGTGGTTTTTATACGTCATGGCAGTGTATTTAATTGTTCTTGTATCACCAAACAGGCTTCGTAAAATCGAGGACAATTTTTTCTAGAACGGGAAATGAATAGCCAAAGAAAATTACTGAAAGTGAGCAATGCAATGTCGGAAAGACAACTAACTCTAAAGAAAGTGAACACGAGTTGTCAGAAATCATAGTCAAATCTACCAGAAACAAAAACGGTGCTTCCGAAAACGTGCATCAGAAACCAAATGATAAAATAGCTTACAAATTAGATTCTGAAGAACAATGGAGAAAAGCAACTGCTCTTGGGAAAGCGGGAAAAGCAACAGGCACCAATAAGAACATACAAGATGATGACGAAAGTAAAGACAGAAAAGGTGATGATCTTGGTCGTCTACCATGGAAAAATGTTGAAAACAGAGTAGATGACCAAATATCTGTTGATGTACAAGAAGTCAATATAAGTAATGTTGATGAGGGTGAAATAAAAGAACAGACTCTCATAAAGGCAGCTAAAGAAGAGGAGTTACAGAAGCTTCTAGATTTTAATGCATACGAGGGGTGATCAAAAAGTTCGCGAACTAATTGAATTACTTCCTTATAAGAAATAAAATGAGATTTCAGTGTTTATTATTTTTTTAAAGTAGTCCTCTCCGATTTTATTGCACATCTGTCATTGGTCTGCCATTGCGCGAATCACGTGATCCAGGCAGTCACGTGACATGCTCCGTAGCAATCTGTTCACAGAAGCTGAAAGATTTTTCCAAGTCTTATATTTCTTACCATGCAAGTTATTTTTTATAACAAAAACAGTTCATCTGTCAGAAATGGCCAAATCTCGGCAATAGGATGGGTGGATAAGGATATCCCTTCCCACAATTAGTATGGTGACCCATCACAACCCGAGTCCTCTGTCTCGGGAGCGTCGTTTATCCAATGTGGATAAAATATAGGCGCCTTCTTTTTATCATATCTCATATGTTTAAAGTCTAAAGTAAACGATATTTTAGGGATTTAATAATTATATTATTGTTAAGATATTCAACCATTTTTCTAATTGTAACTTGACGATGTTTCATAACAAATTGCTCAACTAAGGACACATCTTTTCCCCGGCTTGCTTTCGCTGGGCAACAGAACAAACAAGTCATCATTTTTAACCATCTCCCTGCCTTCATTTAAACAATGAATCCAATTAATGATTGAAGTTCTGGAAAGTCTTTTTTCTTCATAAACCTTGTACAAATTATCATATTCTACCGCAAAGGAAGTTCTAAGATATACATTAAACTTTACAGCCGTTCGTTGCTAGAGTACGACTGAGTCAACCATTTTTTTGTCAAAAGTGACCTACATATTGACGTCATTTTCACATTGTAACGTCACAAACAAGGAGTAAAACATTATTCAACATCTGTTATTTATAGAACATGTGTATGACTATATGTGTGCAAAATTTCACTCTGATCTGAATAGTGGTTTTCTAAATATAGAGATAGTTCGCGAACTTTTTGATCACCCCTCGTATGATGAGGTCCCCGACACAGGTCAATCAACTGTTTCAACGAGATGGGTCATCACTTAAAAAGAAGGCAAACTAAAGGCAAAGCTTGTCGCAATGGGTTTCGAAGAAAAAGACATGATATAACGGGATAGTCCCACTGCAAGCAAAGGGGCAATACGCATATTACTAACCATTGCAGCAAATAAACAATGGATCATAAAGGCCACAGTTATAAAATCTGCTTTCTTACAAGGCAAAAAATTCCATCGTGATGTTTATCTGAAGCCTCCTATTGAGAGTGGAGTTTCCAAAGGTACGCTATGGAAACTTAGACACTGCTTGTATGGATTAAATGATGGAGCTAGACACCTCTTCCTGAGCGTGAAAGAGGAACTCCTTAAACTTTGATGTAAACAGTACAAGTTGGATCCTGCAGTCTTTGTATTACAGACTCAGAAACTTTATGGAATTATTTGTTGTCGCGTGGATGATTTCTTGCATGCTGGGGATGACCAACTAGAAAAAGTCATGCTGCATTTACGTCAAAGGTTTTTAGCAGGAAAAATAGAGGAGAAAACTTTCAACTACCTTGGTTTTCAAATAAATCAAGAAAAAGAATCACTTTAGATCACACAGATTATATCCAATCACTTAAAAGTATGATGATGGATCCTGACAGAGCTTTACAAAAACAGGATATTATCACTTCTGAAGAACAAACTATATTTGGAAAACGTGTTGGGCAGTTAAACTGTGCAGAGTTCCAGACCAGATGTGTCCTTTGAAATGGTGGACCTTAGTACAAAATTGAAAGCAGCCTACGTCAGTGATCTACTTCGTGCAATCAAGGTGGTCAACCGATTGAAGTATATGAAATCTATAGTGTGTTTTCCCAGTTAAAGAACAAATACGCAGATTGGGAAATGATGGTTTTCACGGATGCCTCTCTCGGTAATCTCAATGATGGTGTGGGAAGCACAGGAGCTCATGTAGTGTGGATTAAAGACAAAGAAGGAAACTGCTGCCCAATAACTTGGCAAACACATAAAATAAAGCGAGTTGTACGATCAACTATTGCAGTCGAAGGGCTAAGTTTACAGGAGGGATTGGAATCCGCAGCTTTTTACAAATTGCTTCTAGATGAAATCATCGGACACCAGTTAGCGGTGGAAGCGTACATAGACAATAAAAGTGTTAGTGAGTCGTTTAATTCTTCTAAACTTGTTGATTACAAAAGACTCCGTATAGACATTGCAGCTATTACTGAACTATAAACGGCGAAGAAAATACAACAGTAAAATGATGTGCCGGAAAGAACCAGTTGGCCAACTGTATGACGAAAAGGGGAGCATCTGGACTTGAACTGTTAAAAATTGTGCAAAACGTAAAATTTGTTTGAGAGCTTACCACATACTTTATAAATCGCAATTTCATTCACATTTATTTTATCTGATTCTTCTTTCTAATAATTGAATATCAATTTTCATCAAAAGAAGAGAAGTATAATTTATGTTAATTTTATACTAAGTTAGATAACATTAACTCTTATTTGTGTTTATGGAACTCTCCAGTTTGGAGAGTTAGTTTTAGGTTGATATTAAATGGAGGGAAGTAGATATTGGTGTTGTGCGTGTTGACAATTACAACGAGATCAGTTGCACGTACAACGTACAACATAATATATAAGTTACCAAAACGAGAAATAAGATAATAACGAGATATGTCGTACAAAGGGCATACATCATGTAATGAGTAGAACGTACGATGTAAGTTGTACAAACGACATATACATGTAAGGGCAGGTACACATGGTAAGGCTTGCTTTATGAGTCATGAAACTTAAGTTCTAGCCTTACCGTGTGTACACTCTTAATACACGATTTTCGAGCCTTAGACTGATTTCAGAATAGAACTGCTCTATTTCTTGATACAAGACTTAGCTGACCTTTCCTTCTAAGCCAATGAAAACCATTCGCCCAAGTGACAATCTACTTTTTATTAGACCATATACGTTAGTAGATTGAAGTGAATTAAAAGTCTTTATTTTCGAATTTTTGAGATAATGAATGTATTCAAAAATGCTACTATTCAACCTCTTCCTGTTTTTAAAAAGTTTATAATCTTTTGTTTTTATGCACATGTATTGTATTTATCCCTTTTTCCCTGGTCAAAGAATTTCTGAGCTGAATTTTTTGAGTGGATATTGACACCCCCTCCCCCGTAAATTTCTGGATCGGCCCTTGAATTTATCATTTACATGAATTCTTTTTAAACTTTTCTTTCTTGTTGCTGAGGATATACATGTATGAAGTACATGTATAGTAATTCTTTGATTAGACCTCGTTGGTACATTTATCAGTTTTTAGTACATGTATTGAATAATCTGTTTAACATCATATATATTTAATCATCATCCATAGGTACATTGTATTGGTAGATTATATAAATTGGCGTGCTTTGTTTTAAGGATATTTCTTGTAGTCATGGTAACAAATGATACAAAATTTTATATTCTTTCCCATTCTTAATATATACGACTATAAACATACACTAACTGGATACTTTTTTCCAACACAAACGACATGGTCTCTCAGTTAAATCCGCCCAAGTAGGTTCGACTTAGTGTATATCGCACGTACGACTCTTCTTGTAATTACGACTTATAATGCCGTTTGTATGACATAGCATCTCCTTTTTACGACATTATCTCTTAATTACGACTTATCTCGTACGTACGACTTATAAAAATTTCACACTGACAGCAATGTTCTTCCGTAATAACGTTAAATTATTTAAATTGAAACAAGAATTTTTCATATCAAATTTACATTAAAATCGAATGCAACATACAATACCTTAGTCCAAACTGCATATACTGAATTTGTGTTTTCCTTTTTTTAAAAAAACATTTAACACAACATAACTTAATGTAAACAAAAATAAATAAATAAAAATTTAAAAAAGCCTAGTCGTGGCAAGAATGATACGACTTTTGTTTAACAAGATATATATTTAATATGATTTAAATACAAGTATCAAGACGCTTTCATATCAATTGACGTTTTATTTGTGCTTGATGTCCAATTTGTGAAAAAATGATACGTACAATTACATGTACTAAGGTTCAAAGTTGTATTTAAAGTACGAATACCCTTTTTATGCATGAAGCATTCAAAATGGAATGTGCATGAACAATACCATAACAACTAAATTAACGAGTGGATACAAAGCTGGGCAAGATGTAGCCAAACCGCTTAAGACTGAACAGAAGACAGGAAAATGTAGCCATGGTTCCCAGGACGACACAACCCGACTTAGAACAGCCACTGGTGGTATTTATAAAGGGAGATCGTCTGCTGCACATGCCCCTCACTACCACCTACACGAACAAGCTTTTGAGGCCGCCAAACAAGCCTCAGTTTATTTTCTATCAGATGAAGGTATTTTGCCTTTTATATAAAAAATAAAAAATCATAATCAAAGTTGTTTTAAAAGTAATACAATCTGTAATTCTGCATATTTTTTGTGATGTGATGCTAGCAAAAATATTGTTTTAAATTCTTTATTTAAAAAAAAAGAAAAGAAAACAAGAAAAATATTGTTGATTTTCGATATGTATGCTGAAATACATCCATTTCACAATATGTGAGTAAACTTAGATTTCCTGAATAACTGATTAAAAGACCAAGCATGTGCCACTAATACAGTGATAGACAGTCAATGGATAAAATTTGCTGGACAACATTTTTGCGGGTTTTATTCCATTCAAACCTCACTGTATTTTTAGCAGTACTGGTCAGAGACCAGAAGAGCTTATGCGATAGTGAAGTGTCCGTCGTCAGTCCGTCTGTAAACGATTTTTCAAAACGCTACTCCTCCTACAGTTTTGGTCTGATTTCAATATAAATTGGCACAAAAGCAATCTACTAAGATACATAATTCAGTGCATCGGTTTCTGATGAACGGTGTTGTCATGTTTACTTATTATAGAAATTTAAATTTCTGTGAAATATTTATTTTCAAAACGCTACTCCTTTTACAGTTTCAATCCGATTTCAATATAACTTGGCACACAAGTAGACTACACTTTGATACATAAATAATTCTGTGCATAGGTTTTTGATTTTTTGAGCAGTGTTGCCATGGTTTCTAAAATAGAAATTTCTGTTAAATGCTTTCAAAATGCATCTTCAGTTTTCGTTTTCAGTAAAACATGGCGCACAAGTGAACAACACTCTCTTTCTATCATTTTTTTTCTCTGGTGAGCTTTGTTACCATGCTTACTAAAAATAGAAATATAGGAAATATGAAATACTAGTACTTCATGGTTACAAATAACATTTTAAACCTTAGGGGTCATGTTGGCCCCCGACTTTAAAAGTTAAAAAGCCTATATTTATATTTTGGGGCCCACCATTTCTCTCCACTTTGTAAAAAAAAAAATCACAATCTTTTCGCATTTTAACTCTGAGAGTATACTTTGCTGTCCATAGTCTTAAATTATCCTGACTATTTTGACACCGTTAGTGATTTATGAATGACATTGCATGAAAGTTATAAAATTAAGGCAGTTCGGGGTATAGGAAACATTTTATAGGTAGGAAATAGTGAAATTAAAAGTGCATTTAATTGTAAAATGGTCAGGTCTTGGAAAAATTTCGATAAAATCAATTGGGCGTTTACATCCTCAAGAGTTGGTCGATCACAGACAAGATTACTAGCATATGCTTGTGGGTGAGTGGTTATTTGCAACCCTGTACTTTCAAAATGCTACTCCTTCTACAGTTTGAATAATTTGAATATAACTTATAACTGAAGGCAATAAATCTTGCCACAAAGAGACTAAAACCAAATGCCATTATTCCATTTATTGTTGTTGCATAATTTCAAGTAGCAAATGCTACTTTTCCTTTTTTTCCTTTGTTATAAATACAAACCAGTAGAGTTACAGTCTCATCAGTTACTTCTGGTTTGTGAGAAGCGTTGATTTTATGCAATCACTCTGTTATGTCCCATATATATATCTAAAGCGTAGAGTATATATTAATTTCTTTTTTCCCTGTAGAGATTTATGTATTTTTATGCCCCCGTAATCGAAGACCTTTCATTGGATTCCAAGAACTTTGACCCTTTGATCTTGACCTTGGAGTTTGGCTTACTTTTGAAAAACTTTAACCTATGCCATTACTTTTGAACAGTTGGTCCTAGGGCTTTCATACTTCATATTTGTACTCCTTGTGACAAGGCCTTACTTCGGATGCCAACAACTTTGACCTTGGAGTTTGACCTACTCTTTGAAAAACTTTAACCTTGGCCATAACTTTTGAATGGTTGGAGCTATTTCACATTTTTCACATGTGTATTTTTTGTGAGATGGCCTTTCCTTGGGCACCATTAGATTTGACCATTACCTTGATGTTTGACTCACTTTTGAAAAACATTAACCTTTTCCATATTTTATCAATGGTTGCTGCTAGGGCTTTCATATTTCACAGGTATATTCTTCCAGAAAAGAACTTACTTTGGGTATCAACATATTTGATTTGCATTTGAGAGATTTTAACCTTCGCTTTAAGCTGCCATACGCGGGCATCAGTGTTTCACAAACACATCTTGTTCTCTATCGAACTATGCGCAAATTTATGGACCAAATCATTTGAATGATAAGGATAACCATTTAAAACATGTTTCGTCATAACTTGCATTTTTTTTTTTAATTTTTAGATGACGGCCTTTTTAACAAGCTCGGGATTCACCTATCTACAGAGATATTCCAAATCAAATCAAATACTGGAAATAAAGAAATAAAAGATTATTCAATCGCATTTATCGTCGACGTTACTGGATCAATGTCAGACAATATAAACGGAGTAAAACAAGGGACAACGTCATTCGTGAACGCTATAAAGGCATCTGAAAATGTGCCAGAGAAATATATTCTCGTAACATTTAGTGATCCAGGTTTGCGTCAATGTTGTATTAAACTTCTACATATCTGATGTAGAATAAATACATTCCTTTGCATTATTCAAACTCAACAACTTAATGTGTAGATATGCAATTTTTAGCTCACCTGGGCCAAAGGCTCAAGTGAGCTTTTCTGATCGATATTGGTCGGTTGTCTGTCGTTGTTGTCGTAAACTTTTCACATTTTCATCTTCTTAAGAACCACTGGGCTAATTTCAACCAAACTTGCCACAAAGTGTCCTTGGGTAAAGGGGATTCAAGTTTGTTCTAATGAAGATCCACACCTTCTTCCAAGGGGAGAATTATGATTTTGCGAAAAATTAATGGCATCATATGAAAAACTTCTTCTCCATAACCACTGTGCTTGAAAGTATGAAACTTATGTTTAATCATTATGATGTAGTGTAAATACAAGTTTGTTCAAATAATGGCCACAATGGGGGATCTAGAAAAATCTTTAAAAAATCTTTCAAGGAACAGCAAAGCCATGATTGGTCATATTTATATGGAAGCATAGTCAGGTAGTGTAGATTCAAGCTTGTTCAAATTATGACCCCAGGGGTACATTGAGCCACAATAGAAAAGTTGTAATTGATGATATTAATATAGAAGCATCCTCAGGTAGTGTAGATTCAAGTTTGTTTAAATCATGACCCCCCGGGGGGAAGGGTGGGGCCACAATAGGTGATCAGTTTTACATAGGGAAATATCTTTAAAAATCTTCTTCTCCATCTTCGCTAGCCAAAGGTTTCTGATACGCTACTCCCCTCATAAACCCTTGGCATACGGTGCTGACAATAGACGGGATTGTTTTCGTCACGTGATCACGATTCTTACCAGGTTCGCACATATTGCGTCATCGACAGAATTAAAAAGCGTATTTAAAAACATAATGTTTTTAAAGAATAATTAACAAGAAGGTATTGAATTATGTTACTTTGTTATTTAAACATGTTAAAATGCAAATCTACATCTTCAGTATAGATTCTAAATCACATGTTTTGCACGTAGCTTAATATATTGGATGACACCATATAGCTATTCATAGAATGGCATGTTATCTTACGGATCGTTGTTTACTTGCGGTTTCATTCCCGATATTAAAGAGTCAAGATATATCCCGAACGCATATATCGTCATTTACAGAAAACAATTCCTGATTGGTCGAACGATGTCGATCAACTCCAATCACAACTTGAAAAAAAATCCCAACTTTTTTTAACACCGTATGCCAAGGGCTTATGAGAAGAGTAGCGTATCAGAAACCCTTGGCTAGCGAAGATGCTTCTTCTCAAGAACAGCAAAGCCATGATTATTTAAAATGTTTATATGGAAGCATCCTCAGGCTTTGTAGATTCAAGCTTGTTCAAATCATGACCCCCGGGGGTAGGGTGGGGCCAAAAGGGGCGATAAAAGTTTTACACAGGAGAAATCTTTTAAAAATATTCACAAGAACAACAAAGCATGATAGGTCATAATGATATAAAAACATCCTCAGTTAATGTAGATTTAAGTTTCTTCAAATCATGACCCACCCACCCCCCGGAGAATAGAGGGACCGTAACAGAAGATCATAGTTGTGAAACAGAATATAAAGGATATATCGATAAAAAAATTCATCTTAAAAACAACAAAGCCATTATGTGTCATATTAATTCAAAAGCATCCTTTGGAAGTTTAGATTCAAGCTTGTTCATCCCCCCCCCCAACCACTTTTATATTTAAACTTTTCAATACTGAATTGATTTCTGCTTTTTCCTAAGCCAAAGTGCTCAGGTGAGCAATGTGGCCCCTGGGCCTCTTGTTCTTATACGAGTAAAAATTGAAAATTTCAATGTTATTTATTAATTTTGATTTTTAGTTGATTTTGAAACAAGCCGAGTAACAGCCGATGCAGACGAAATGATTGATTGGTTAGGCAGTCTCTCTGCTAGCGGTGGTGCGGACTGTCCAGAATACAGTCTGTCTGGTTTAATAACAGGTAGCTCTAACTCTTATAACTTACTGTTGCGTGATGTTCTCGAGCACAATTTTACAAATTATCACATTTTCAGTTATTGTTCTTACAATATTAAAAACAAACGACTTAACCTGTCGAACTTATGAAGTCTATATGTATACTATTCTTGTGCTAAATTGTCACTTTTTAGGTCACCCTAGTCAATTACGTGACCTACATGTATTGCTATCCGTTTTTGTCCGGCGACTGGCATTGTCCTTTGACAGACATTTGAACATTTTCAGCTTCTTCTCTGGAACTGCTGAACGCATTTCAACAAATCTATAGCATCTGTGAGAAAACAAAATTGGGAACAAAATTGTGAATTTTATGGTCCCTGCCCCTAGAAGCTCGGGCTAAAACCATAAAAATTAATGCAATCTTTAAAAATCTTCTTCACTCCTGGACATCACGCAGTTGAACTATTGTCATGTTGTAATAAGCATGGAACCGTCTACCAAAATTGTGAAATTCATGACCCAGGGTTATGGCACTGGAGTAAGGACGGGGCTCTAATGATCCTGTAGTGTAAATGCATAAAATCTTAAAAATCTTTTTCCTCTCCCCCTGTATATTTACAATGTAGCAGTTAAACTGGATGCATTATTCTAATGAGCAAGGGTAACTGTACCAAATTGTGTCCCCAATGTCAAAGGTTCTGTTTGGGAGGGGCTTTATGATTGATTGATTGATTAGGGTTTAACGTCGAGTCGGCAATATGTCAGCCATATTTCGGTGGAACATTAATTCTATATGACCGGTTTTGAAAGATTTTTGGTTTCTCTGGCGGCCCCCAGTGAGCCTACTCCTTTCCGAAAACCAGAGAAACGATCTTCTGCGTGCTAAGGGGGTTGCAATCCTTGACACGGGGCACCATTTAACGTCCCATCCGACGGACTTAAAAATTTAAAAACATTTCAACAGTTTAAAATAAAACTCTCTCTGTGTTTATCAACAAAATTAATTAAATTGTGTACCTTTAGATTTTACTGTAAAAATCAGTTTCATGTAAATAATATAATCTAAAATTGTATTAACATTAACATTTGTAAACAGTTCACTCATCGTTCGTACATTATTGAAAAGTCTACTTCGAATAGGCGTAAAATCAGAACATTCTAAAAGAATATGATTTATAGTAAGAGGACAGTCATAGGATATACATTCTGGCTGAAGTTCTCGATTTAATATGTATGCATGTGTTATTTTAGAATGACCTATACGTATTCTTGAAATAATCACTTCGTCCTGACGTTTCAGGCCGAAGTTAGATGATATGTTAACTTTGTTTCCTATTGCATATAGTTTACTTGTATCACAAAATTCCCAATATATTTTGCCAAAGAGAATTTACATAAAGTTTCACAATATATTTTAGGTCAGTATAAGGAATTTTAAAAATGGTAATGTCGTACTGAAGTGTACGGTGGCTGGTATAGGACATGGTATGAGAATTTTTTTTATTAATTCGTGGCCACGAAATAAAGTTCGTGGGAACGAAATAAAATTCGTGGCCACGAAATAAAATTCGTGGCCACGAAATAAAAATTCGTGGGAACGAAATAAATTTCGTGGCCACGAAATAAAAATTCGTGGCCACGAAATAAATTTGTGCTACATAATGCCATTTTTAGCTTCTTCTGTTTTATGTCATTCAAGATGAACGAACTTATATATAATTATCATTTAATTGGAATGAGCCAACGGGATATATGTGTAATGAGCAATGAGATTCGATGCTGTTACGTAGAACATGTTTCACATGAGAAGTTATACTCCTAACATGCTAAGATTTTGTGTCTTTATTTCATTACAACTATGTGACAGGATTCAATAGAAAATGTGAGAAAACAGCAAATAAGCCCTTAAAGTCATTAATGTTCGGGTTGCCTTGACTAATATCAGGAACAAAACTTGCCAGAGTTATTATAGTTAAGAAAAATACATAACTTGGCTAATATAAAATTGTCCCTGTGTATCATATCATCTAAAAAATCGTGACTTCATGCTGTGTCATGTAGCATGATGACAAGCTGAAGAGAACACTTTCATTTTGTTTTATCATTTGGTTAGGATGTCATTTTGGATGCAGTATCATTGAACTGCCTTAAACTCCAGAACAGTCAATTGAATCGGCTTGAATGTCTTGTTTTAATTTTGGGCACAGAGCAAAAGAGATAGTTTATTATTATTATTATTTTTTACAGCTAGACTATGTTCATAATGCATGTACCAATTCTCAGCTGCTTCTAATATATATGCAAATTAAATATATGGGTATTTATAATGATGTTTATCAGTGCGGGCCAGTTACAATAATCTAACTGTGTCTGTGTGTCATGGGACAGACTCTCACTAGGTCCATAGCAAATTATCATTTTAACACTATATGTACATGTAATTGTGAAATAAAAATTCGTGGCCACGAAATAAAAATTCGTTCCCACGAATTTTATTTCGTGGCCACGAATTTTTATTTCGTGGCCACGAATTTTTATACCATGTCCTATAGCAGCCACCGTAGAAGTGCCAATTTTGCAGCACTATCAGCCTTAGTGTTTCCAATAATTCCAACATGACTTGGAATCCAACAAAAGTCAACTACTTTACCTTGTTGAGTGAAGTGATAGTACTGAATAAATATATCTAAAATGTAGGGTTGATCGATGGTCATATTTTGTATAGATTGCAAGCAAGAAAGGGAGTCCGAAAATATTGTAAAAGAGTTGTCATTAGATTTAATAAATTCAAATGCAAGCTGTTCGGCTTTTGCCTCTGCTGTAAATATTGTAGCTTCATTTGGAAGCCTTAAAGAAAAAAAAATATTTTTATTCACTGCAGTCGCTGCTACTTTATTTTTGTCTTTAGAACCATCTGTATAAATTTCGACTGTAGAATTTTTAGATTGTTTTATTTCGGCTAATTTCTGTTTAAAAACAAGAGAATTGGTTTCTGATTTCTTAAAATTAGTTAAAGATGTGTCTACATTTGGTTTAATTAATTTCCATGGCGGTATTTCAGAGAAAATTGTAGGTTTTATAATGTCCAAAGGTTGGTCAGAATCCCTCTTATGTTTTCTAGATCTTAGACCAATAGGTTTTATACATGTTTTACTTTTATCATATAAGTTTTCGTACTACGGATGAAAAACACAATCGTAAGCAGGATTATTAATATTCGCTTTTAATTTGAAAATATACTGTAAGGTAAGTTTGATTCTTCTTAAGTCCAGCGGTGGCTCATTTGCTTCAACGTATAGACTATTTACAGGAGAAGTTCGAAAAGCTCCTAAGCAAAGTCGAAGGCCTTGATGATAGACTGCGTCAAGAGCTTTCATGTATGAAGTTCTTGCCAAACCATATACAATGTAACCATAGTCTAATTTAGATCTAACTAAAGATCGATAGAGTTTTAAAAGAGTATTTTTATCCGCCCCCCCCCCTTTTGTATTTGCAATAACTTTTAATACATCTAATGCCTTTGTACATTTTTCTTTAAGCATTTTAATATACATGCGAGATAAGAGAGTTTACTGTCAAAGATAATACCTAAAAATTTTACTCTTTTACTATTTTTATAGGGATTCCATCTAGAAGCAAATGTGGATCACCGTGGGCTTTCCGTTTGGAGCAGAACTTAAATCCATTTATATCAGCCCAATTTTGAATTTTATTTAGACAAAGCTGTAATTTTCGCTCAATATAAATCATACTTTTGAATTTAAAACAAAGAACAAAATCATCGACAGATAGACTTTCATGCATATTATTTTTAAGCACTTCTGCTATACTGTTAATTTTTACGCTAAATAATGTGACCGATAAAATACTTCCTTGTGGCACACCCATTTCCTGTTCAAAATTGTCCGAATATGTAGACCCCAAGCGTACTTTAAAATGTCTATCATTCAAAACATTCTTTATAAAATTGGGCAAGTGTCGTTCTTATTATATAGTGCAAATGCATTTTTTCTTTAGATATCTTCGCAGGAATGTTATGGCTACACCCAGAGATATCCTACTTGCCTTTACAATATGACGTCATAGTAAGCTGTATGACGTGAACTTTAGAAATGACGAACTCTTAAAATCTATATTTAAAGTTTAATTTCAGATCCAAGAAATGAATGGAATCATTCAAAAACATAATATAAACTAAATCTTGTCGTTTTTGGGTGGTATAAATAGCTAAGTATTTATCACGGGGGTAAATACCAAACCCATGACGTCATAACTATTGATCAAATACTTGCCGAGTGAAAATGAAACGTGACGAGAATTTATGTAAACAAATATATGAAATGGGAGTTTTAAAGCATATACATTGAATGTTATGTGTGATTCATAAGGAATTAAAGATTAAGAATCAGGTACGCTGATATATTCTTATCATGTTTTCTTATAATGAACAGAGGCAGTGCTATGAAATCCCGATCAGCCTTTTCTCTGTCGCTCTATAACAACAATGATGCAAAAATTCAACACTACGCCGCATACTGTGAAACATGATTTTTGTTTGTATCGAAAGCTTGTATTCTATAGTACATAAATTGATGACAATTCCTTGATCGTACGTATAAAATGTAAAAATTTTGGTAAGGTTTCATGCGAAACTTTGGAATAATTTTTTCTGTGTCGGGAGAGTAGGATTCTAGCAGCACTTTTCATGGTCCAGTGATGTTTTTACATAATTATTTTCACAAAAAGAAATGAATTATCCCCGGGGTAGTGTTGAACTTTTCACTTTTTCATTAAGGTAATTTTTCTATTTATAGACGTCACGTGATGACGTCGTAGTGGAGTGCTTCTTTTAGCCTCAGACTCAATGACGTCTATACAATGGATAATAATAGTAAATGTTTTATCTATGGCTTTTCCGATTTATCAATGTTACATCTTACGAAAAAAGTCTAAATTCGCCGAAATATGATCTGTGTACTGCCTTAACGTACCCGCGTTATTACCTGCTCCTGGGCATTGACA